TGGTCCAGTGGATTTGAGGGATTGTTGTAACTCAGAACACTTCCTGCTAATGAGGCTTAGCCTCCCTCCCCAAACTAATGTCATGGTGGCAGGTGACAGCAGCAGCACCACCACGGTACTGCTGCCCCACAGCACCGGGCACCACTCAGCGTGCAGCCTGGCCAGTGCCCCATGCACACTCACCTCCACACGGCTCTACTGCTCCAGTGCCATTGCCACACCTGCTGCCATAGTGCCATGCCCAGCACCCCTACTGCATGCTCCTCCAGCCCCCCCAAATAATATTTTCTCCTGCTGCCAATGGGCAGGAAGCTGTGCATGCTGGCTGGGGGCAGGGCCAGGGCAGTGTTCTCAGCAGGTGTGGGTGGGTGCAGGCAGGAGCATGGCACAGGCTGCTCTGGGTCGGAGCAGGTGCGGCTTGGACCCGTGCAGAGCATCACGGGGGCAGCCATGGACTGGATACAATCAGTTGGTAGGCCGTATTTTGCCCATCCCTGCTGTACTTTAACAGTTCCCCATATGGACCAGAGTCTGGCTCTGTGCCCTTTTTGCAGTATGTATATCATAATTTTGATACTGTTTTTCATTCAAGTCTTGTGGTGGAGAAAATGGAGGGACTAGGCCATATCTGACCTGTACATAACTGCAGCCTACTTAGTCATGCTTACTAAACTGCAGCCCCATTATCAAATGTTGACTAGGTTGGGTATACCATGCCTAATGGAAATGGGTGTGATGCGTATGATCATTTTTAATTGTAGTACTTTTTGGTAAGGGCATTTCAAGGAAGTGAAAATAACTGTCGTGGGCCAAGTACATAGTATTGTTTCCAACCAGCTTAAAAAAAACATTTCCTACTTTTCTCCAGGGGATGAGGGTCAGCATTCCCTGAGCCGTGAATGTGGGTCTTGGTTTGTTCTGTACGTTCAGAATATGCAATAAGCCTTAATAGTTTCTGTGATGTTGCTGTTCATTTGAGGCCAGTATAAAACATCTCTGGCCCTTTCTTTAGATTTTTTAGTCCCGAACTTGCCTTCAGGCATCGTTTTTAGCATATTTTCTATAACAGTTCACTTATTTATTTATTTGATTTATATGCTACTTTTCTCAAAAAGGCTCAGAAAAGTTGACAATGAAAGACAAAGCAAAGAAGAGAATAAAATGTTAAAAAGGTATAACAAAACAACCCCCCAGCCTACCCATCCACTGCAACATTTAAAAGCAATGCACCCCATCTCACTTTCTCCCTTCCTATTGCCTTTAAGCAAAACCATCTACTACTAAGAGTTGGTTTTCAAATGGATACAGGTTGGCAAGATGTGGTTCCAGCCATCCTGTGATGATTATCTTAATTATTTTCTGCAGGATGTCATCCTCAACAGTAGCTCTGGCGGTGATATATGTTCTCTTTAAAACTGAATAGGGTTGGTTTGTTTTTTAATCTGGTTGAAATGTATTTAACCTAACTCTGGACTCTCCATTGACACATTTATGTCAAATATGCCAAAGAATGCATCTTTAACCAAATCTTATCTATGTTTGGTTTCAGTTTGTCAATCTTATTTTTTTTATTTGGACAAAAAAAAAATCACTGTGTTCTCAGGGAGGGTGTTTTTTGCTTAAGCCCTTTTGGGAATGACAGTAAATGATTTATGGTCAGTTCACTAACTGAATTTTTTTACATCACTCGACTAAAACCAACGCTGCATGTAAATGTTCAGGTTTTAAAAGCATAAGCCACTGGACTCCAGTATTAAACATGGGGATATAACAGTCCATGCTGCTACCCTATATGGTGATATACACATACACTTTATTTTTGCACTTACTGAGGTACTGTATGGCAGTATTGGATTCTCTTTGACACTTTCACAGAAACATTTTATTAAATTTGCATCTTGTATCTACTAGACACTTTTTTACTGGAATGTGCTTAGATTGCAGGTTTGGACAGCTAGATTATACTTCTTTCATTTCTGGTGGGCATGTATATTGGTAATGGCCTGAACTTTACCATGATCAAGCTGTCCACCTTGCTGTGTTGCCTTTTTCTCTCAGATGTGTTTTTTTCCATTACATGGAATTTACTTCTTTGTTTGCTTAGCTTTAGTGCAGGAGCTCTGTCTTTTTCCAAAGCTACTCACAGCCTCTGGCCATGTTTTTCTCTCTCTCTCCCTCTCTCTCTCTCTTTTTTTAAATTTTTATTATTACTCCCAGATCAAAGCATAATCATTATAGACCTTATTATGCTGTACACCATCAGAAATGTGTTGCATCGTCCTGTGGAAGGTCTTGGGTGTAGACCAAAACTTACCGTCTCTCAAGAAGGTTCTTGAAAGTGCATGGATATGTGCTTGTTTTTTCTAAGGGCACTTGTCAGATCATTGATACATCAAAAGTGTAGAAGGATATTTGGCTTTAGCCACCTCTCCCAGAATTTCTCCCACTGTAGATAACAGGAAATGTTGCCTTTTAACCTATTTTTTTTAGATTTTCTTATATCTGCTCAAAAATAGATTTCTTTCTTCCCCCCTCCATTACAATGGCCAGTGAAAGTACCTACTATATTGCTACTTTCATTGATCCTAAGATTCCCAAAACAAGGCGCTTAACCCCTCTTGCATCGTAGAGTGCCTGCCACAGTGGAGCTTTCCTAGGAGTTAGAGGACAGTAGGCTCTCTCAAAGCTTTCATTTTCCCTGGAGGACTTTCTCAAACTCTTTGTCAAGTGTTTTGGTCCTGTACTCCTCAAACAGTAGCAGTCTCTGAAACCAAAGTTTGTCATGCCTTTAATCCAGTAATGAGAATTTTTCCTCCTGGTGTTTTTACAAATCACATTCTTTTCTTATTTCCTTTTGCTATTAATTCACATACATCTGTAGTGAGGATAACATCCTAAGTTTCACCATGTACACTGTGTTGCCCCTGGCTTTTCCTTTACTGCTTCTGGCACCAATTGGCGTGTACATCTGTGTTCAACCATAAGTTAATAAATCTTACATTTGCTTTCTGGTTAACGGTCCATTTACCTTCTGTAGTCATGTTGTCTGTGCTCCTATGACAAATTCCTCTGATCTTATGGTGTGGCCAACACACTCTGCTGCCACGTGCAGATTCTTGCAAAGCAATGAAACCATTGCAGATCTTGAGTCTCTTTTTTTCTTAATGAGTGGACATTGCTCTGATTTGTTGAGTTTTGCCACAACACATGCAGCTTCATGTACTCCATGAACTGATTTTGAGGTTGGTGTGCTAGTCTGCTGCAGGTCTGTCTAATGCAGAATCCACATTATCCATCCTCCAGATTCTGCTTGGACTTGATGACATTCTTTTCTTTCTAACTGCACTGTTGAGGGTTAATTTTGGGCCTTACAAGAGTCTGTCTTTAAGTGTTTGTCCCAGATCCCAGTCATGACAGGGGACATTATTATGGTCGTAGTTGACCCCCAAAATTTCAAGCGTGCCTTTTCAGCCTTAGATCAGTCACAGATGTTTATGTATCTTCTCCTTTTTTGTATGGTCTGTTTAAAAACATATGTTTCATTTTTATTTGGAATGCAGTACTCCTCACTTTTCTGTAATAAAGTTTCATAGCCTCCTCTGCCTGACTAAACTGACAAGTATTAAAAACATCAAGTGCTTCAGAAACAGCTAGTCAGAGATATGGCAACCTCCTGCTATCTTCCTTTGTGCTGGCACCCACTGCTTGCAGAAAAGGAAGACGGCAGGAGGCCTTCTCCTAGAAAACAACATGACCTTCTTTAATTGTCCTCCACATTTCTGGAAAGTTTTACATTTTATGTGGCTTTTAACTGCTCTATTTTTCCACTCAATAGTACTTTCTTTGTTCTTTCTATTCCTGCTACAATGAGGTTTTTTAGAAATATCAGAGCCAAGGACTATGGCAGAGGGTTCTTTTGGGAGCCCCTTCATAGGTATAGTTCTGCATAACCTGGATCAGTTTTAAAAATTAAAGGGAAAAAAAAATCTCTCTGTTTTCAAAATCTTTGTTATATTCTTGGAACAGTGTTGAGTATCCTTGGTTTTCAGCTTCCATTATTTCTTTTTATTCCACAAAGCCTTTCACTTGCAGTTAACACATTTGCAAGTACTTTTAAGTCAAGGATTGTGTCTCTTTACCAACCCAGCCTGGAAAGCATATTGCTGTGTCCTGGCACTATGCAAAATAAATACAAGCTTGTTTCCTTCTAGAGTAGCTATCTGGGTGGCATTGCCTGGTCACATGCCATTTGGGTACTGTGTATAGGTTACTAGCTGTCTAGTAAAGCTAGATCAAAATAAGGGATGAGGGACTATTTTTTTAAAATGTTTATGAAATTTCAGCCCCTGATGCTGAAATTGTGCCAATATAGCCATGTCAGAAGAGCCCGCTAGTGGAGACACAGCATATGCTTGCAAAAGGTTTTTTTCTGCCAGCACAGCTAAACTATTTCCCCAAATGACACAAGCCAAGCAGGCAGAAGCCCTCTTCTGTTGACAGAGCTGCATCCACATGAGTGTTTTTGCCAGCATTGCTCTGTTTGCTAGGGGTGTGTGAAAAGTTCATACCCTTAACTGACATAGCTATGCTGGCAAAGCTTTGCAGTGTAGACCAGACCTTATTATTTGGTATAATTCAGATAGCTTAAGAGGCCAACACTTTCATTGCCATACTGGGTGCTATTAAACTCTTGATATTTACTTTTCATGTTGGTAAAATCTGATTATGTGATTTAGAGTATTCCCTGTACTGAGTATAGGGAATACTGCATGTAGAGCAACACACTAAAGGTCACTGTGCAAGAATTGTCTAGAATTGTAATAGTGACTGTCCTGTAAATAAATAATTATCTAAAAGTTATGGGTCCAGAATATATGAGCTATCAGTCAAGCTGAAGACAAGAGAAACTCTGATTAAGTTTGCATTTTTGCACCTGTCTCTCCTCACTTTCTATTGACAAATTTGATGATGAGTAAGACGATTTCATTTTTTCCTTTCAGATAAAGCAAGACATTCCAGAAATTATACCAGATCTAAAAGAGCTAGTAAAAGAAAAATTTACTGCATTGGAGAGCAGAAACAGTGACTCCGACCTGCAGAGACATGAAAAATATAAACATTTTAAGGAGCAACTTAAAGACATGAAAAAACAGCGTAAGTCGTCTTTTAAAAATTATGGTTATGCGGAGATAGAAAATGGCTCTACATATACATGGCATTTCAGTAGATGAATAAATTGTTTTAAATACAAAGCAGCCAAACACAGTTCAAACTTTCATATATGCCCTTCTTATAAGACTCATTTAAAATAATTTATCATTTATGCAGTTAGATTTCTTGCAATGCTTGTGTTATTTGCGTACCTATGAAATGAAAGGCTTGCTTCTCATCCTTTTTATTCCAAGGTGGGCTTTTTGTTTTAAATGAGGCTGTTTTCTCTTAGTTGATAGGATCTTCTGAAAGGATTAGGTAAGCTGTTTTCATTTGTCACTTTAACAAATTGCTCCTGTTTCACAACTTAGGATGTGTTGCAACCCTAAAGAGACCTTTGCTTTTATCATAGAACTATATTGTTGGAAAATGCTTACTGCATGTGTTCTCAGGTTTACAGCTTCTACACACGCACCATGTAACGCCGCAGCATATTAAAATCTATCTCACTTACTTCATGTTGAATCACGAAGCGGTAAAATTTTAAGTTATTGTGCTTGCGCTGCTAAAGAAGCTTGTGAGTTGGCAGTTCTGGTGTTTATTGGTATGAGACAACAAAATATACTTTTTACTGCATGGTCAACGTAAGAGCTATTTTAAAGAAAAATCTTTTGATAACTGGCTTTGGGAAAACTCACAAGTCCTAAAATCATATGTCAGGTCCTTACCCAGTCAAATTATGATTAAACTTTAAAGTCACATCATTTTGTTTTACATCCCTTGACCCCTGTCCCTGTTTCCTCCCCTCCCACCCCTGTCCATTTTGATTTCAACATAAACTGGTATCTCAGGAACTACAAGAGTCACAGATTAATGATCTATGCTGTTGGAAGCTGGAGATTCTGGGTGTTTTCATGTGGTGTAAAATGCTGTTTTTTGACTCTTACTATTCTGGAGACAAATCCAAAAGCTGATTGAAATCAGTAGAAAGATTCTTCCTTTCATTTCAATGGGCTTTGGATCAGTCCCTTACGAGTTATGGCTTGAGAGGGCAGGTGAATTTCCAGGCCTTGATGAAACCTTGTTAAGGTGAATTTTAAGCCTGATACCTTGAGATTTGCCAGGAGTAGAGCTGAGTGCACTTGCGTCCTGGCCTTCCAGTTGGCAAGGTGCTGGACATCAGAACTAGCACTGGTTTTTCAGCTGAAAATTGCTCTAGGTACTACTCCAAGAATAAATATAGCAAGGTGCAGACCACAAAATAGGGTCATTTTCACTCCCAACGTAATCATAACATTATTGCTGCTGCACCATTATGCTGTAATTCCTAATTCCCAGGTGTTTGTAACTCAGAAGCTAAAACCTTGATAACTGACACTGCATTTATTTTCCACCCTAAAATTGCTTATGGAAGGGGCATTTATCTTAAATATATGTTTGGCTTAGCCCAGAGGTTCCCAAACTTTTTCATATTGCATACCTCCTTCCAGATTTACCAGCTGCCTGTGTATCCCTACCAGCATATGTTTTATATTTTAACCCCTTAAAACCTAATTATTATTATAATGAAAATTGAATCCTCCATTACACAGTTTCTCCTGCGTATCCCCCAGAGTGTCTTGCGTACCCCCCACGGTATGTGTATCACAGTTTGGGAACCCCTGGCTTAGGCCATGGTACCAGCTTAAGCAGCAGGACTGGAAGTTCCCCAAGTTAATCAAAAATAATAAGAATTACTTTTTTTTTGAGGGGAGTATTTTATTATTGTAGCTGTCGAAAGTCAAGTTGATGCCTGTTACATTGGCCTTTGAATTTTTGCTGTGATTGTGCATTGCAGAGGCATCAGTGGGATGTGCCTGTTGATGCTGAATGGGCAGCTGTGCTCTGTATGTAGATTAATGAGCAGTTGTCAGTTTGTAGTCAACATGCACATTGTTTTCTGTGGGGGATCCACCACATTTAGCATAATCCAAAAGGTTGAATGAAAATCATTAGATGACCTTGCTTCTTGCACATTTCCTAGACCAGTGGTGCCCACCTCATCCAGGGGGATGGGGCCCACCCATGGTCTCAATCCCGCTCATCTGATCCATGGGGCTCCCTGTGAATCTGGAAATTTGGTGACGGAACAGGTCGTGGTAGTGTTAATTGTCATGACTCAAGGAGCCATGGCAATTAATGCTGCCACTGATCCTCTGCTGCCAAATTTCTAGACACGTGGAGAACCCTACGGGCCAGATGACATGGCTCCATGCATGAGATCAGGCTTGTGGCCCATATCGTGCTCATCTCTGTCCTAGACCATCACAACTACAGGAGCTCAGATTATAAACTCTTTAGCGCAGAGACTATGTCTGTCTATGTGTTTGCAGCACAGTAGGCCTGTGATCTTGAAAGAGACACCTAGACATTGCTGGACTAGCACATATTTAAAATAATTAAATGTGCAGACATTACATTGATCACCTGCAGAGAAATATAAAGTATACCAAAGTACAGGAAGAACTAATCTGTTCTAGAGAAGTTGTGAGAACAGGGTGAAGAGCCAGGAAGTTCTGAGTTGTTATATCAGCTCTTCTGATGTTTGGGGGTTCATCCAAAAATTGGTGAAGTCTTTGGAAAGACATGCATTAGTTTCAGTGGGCTTCATGTCATGTAGGGCTCTGTTATGTGCTAGTTGTTTTTATCTATGTCGAGGACTTTATGGTCACCCAGGTAAGTATTCAGAGTTTCGTTGTTACGTTGTATGTTCATTCTTTAACTTTCTTCCTTTACAAGTACATGATCCTCTAAACATGACTCCAGTAATACAGCATAGGTTATACCTATAACCTCAGGTATACATTTTAAAATTGTTTTCCATAATTTTTCTATTTTAATAATTTTACCAGCAGCTGCTTGCTGTATATATTTTTTAAACTGTCAGCACTGCCTTTCTTAGGCACAAACAGGAAGAACTCTCACCCTGTTTCAAACAGTGTACACACATAATATGTATAGCCCAAGTTAACTTGCACCTTGGAATTTGGTTTTATTGATAATTCAAATAACTATATCAAAATGTAAACTTCAGTCAAAGATTTCTCTGGCTTGGCTGCTCCTGACATTTCCTGGCATGACCTCCTCCGACCCAGTCCTTACCTTTCTGTCTCAAAGAAGCAATCTCATGCCACTTACGTCCTTGTTGGAGTTAAAGTAATCTAACTGTCCGCATGAGTCACCAGTAAATACACTGCATCTTTATGCTGGATTTAACACCTGAATTCAGGATGGCTCAGCAGCAGTCCTGCATTCACATGCCACCCTGTTACAGTTAAATCAGAATATGACATACACACATGCACACACTGCAGAAGATGAAGTGGTTAAATGCAAGGTAGCTGCAAATAAGACCTAGTAAGCATTCACCATTGTTCTTAGGCATGTTTTGATACTTAATCTGTATGTACGCTGTGAAAATGCACTTTAATGCATATATATATTATATATATTTAATACTTTTCTGTTAGATGCAGAGTAGTACATAGAAGTACAAGCTACTATATATGTGTACTTAAGATGATACAAGAACCTAGATACTTTATTTCAGAGCTAATATACAGTCATGAAATGAACACTGTCATAATGCATGTGTACATATGCATGCACGTGTTGAGGTTGTACATACATCTTTAACTCTACTTCCTTACTGATAGTTGAACCATGCAAAGTGTTTCTGTCTGTAAAGTTTTGGATATTAAATTCCTTGGATTACAACAAGAAGAAAGAGATGGGAAAGAAATAAAAGGAGTTTCTCTCTGTTGGGTTTCTAAAAACTCTAGAGCTATTGTAGTAGGTACATTAAGAAATTCTCCTGTGAATCTTTGGAGCTGACCTAATAAGAAAAGTGCAATGTGTCCTCCTTCATGTCAGAGGTGGTAAATGTGCGTCATAGAGCATCCCTCCCGCATATCTTTCAGTGTGTATAGGAGCTCTTCCTCAATCCCTTATTCTGCATCTTGCAGTTAACAGTTCACAGGCATTCACAACGACATGTTCCATGAATTTAGTGTAAAACATTGCAGAGCTTACTGTATGTGCATGAAAAGCAGTTTTCAAAGATATCTAAGTCCCATTTTCAAATGTAATTTGGGTTCCTAAGTCCCACGTCTACATGACCCCCAGGACATACCCAAGAAGAACATCTTGGAGCATACTCTGCCTTCTTGCTCCCATTCCATGTGCCCCAATCTCCAGAGCCTTAGAGCAACATTGAGTATACCCTGAGCATTGTTTTTAGGCTTTCTGATTCACACGTACAGGATTTACTATGTATAGAGCAAGAGAAAGTGGGCAGGGCATACTCTATGGCATCACTCCTGGGCAGGGGATGCAAGCAGTGTAGGTTTGCCCAAAGTTCTGTTTTGAGGATTTTACCTGAGATCAAATCAAACCTGTTTAGGCTAGAGAACAATTAAACCACACATTTTCAATTCCTTGTTTTTTATAACATTAAAAGTATAGTTCTTTTACCCCTCTCCAACTAAAAACTGGCCATCTTTGACATGTTTAAAAGAATACTTATGGATTCAGATGAATTATGGAAAGTCTGTTTGAAATGTCAGAAGGATTCAAGATACTTGCAAATTGGCTTAGCAAGTAAACTGCTTGATAGACTTAACTACAGATGGAGTGGCCAGTTCTTCTGTACATAAGTGTCTCAGTTCTGCAAGGCCTTGAGCTCTCTCCCTGTTTCAGTATGAAACACTTTGGCAAGTGCTTAAGGTTAAGCATGTGAGCAGTTCTGTTGAAATCAAAGGGATTATTCATTGCTGGAGTATTATCATAGCACCTGTAGGATTGAACCCCAGGGGGATACTGTGGGAACTGTACTTTGCATTTTTTTCTTGTAAGTTTAAAAGTCAGTTACTGTTTAATGTTAAACCAGTAGAGCCTTTCCTTTGATACCCATATGAATCAAAAGACTCTTTCTAAAGTAGGAGAATTTGCCTTTAAAGGCAAAT